TGCTTGCAAAATTTTCTATACCAATCCAAATAAACACACAGTATCTTGCTGTTTATACAATGGGACACCGGTATGGGAGTTTAAGGATGAACAACTTTTACAGACGCCATGTGGAATTACGGTAGACGACAAGGGAATTGTTTTCGTTGTTGGCCGTGATTCCCATCTTCTAATGGGAAATATATTAAACAAATACTAAACAAGGAAGATGGTCTCAGAGTACCAACTACGATATTCCGTGACAAGATAGGGAAACAGCTTCTTGTGACTAGTGACCAAAACGTTGCATATCTTTATACCATTTCCATTAATTAACAAAACATATCAGAGAACTGTTCTGATTAAATATTACTATAGTGAATGTACATTAAATTAATATTTATCAGATTTGTGATTGCACAAATACGAGTACTAGTATATTTTTACTCAAGTAAGCAGTATCGTAGGTCCTCTCTGGCAGCAAATCTTTGATATGTTGTGTGTTCTATTTCTATTGTTGATAAGGAGTGTACGCAGAACGCACATATCATATAGATGCAGCCATGGTGAGAGTGAATTGGTCTTTTCTCCGAAGCAAACTATTAGAAGGCATTTGATCACGAAGTGATGACACAGTTTTGGTTCTTCCCGTAAGTGTTATTTCTTCGTGGATTTTTTAACCTTATCTACATTTATATGATATAAGTATATGTTCGTTCGTGTGCTGTCATATATGATCATGTTTAAGAAATTCATTATTTCACAACATAAAAAAGTAAAATAACAAAAATACCGAACTCCAAGGAAAATTCAAAACGGAAGGTCCCTCATCAAATGGCAAAATCAAAAACTCAAACACATCAAATGGCTGGAAAACAACTGTCATATTCCTAACTTGGTGCAGGCATTTCATTATGTAGAAAATGGTGGGTTAAACCTGATTGTATACATAGCTTAACCTCTCACTTATAAACGATGTAAGATCAATGTAAGATCAATTACAAAATAATAATAGGTGTGAACAAACCTGCATCAAGTGAATGCAAGCATGATGGTTACTGAGTTACTTTTTGAACAATAAAAGTGTAGAATAAGAAATTCAGCTGTGTCTGCTTCTCACGAAACATCAATAAGTTCATTGATAGTATCATTTTTTTTTTTCAAATAAGAATAACCAAAATGTTATTTAAATGTCAGTCATGCTGCAACTGACCATTATTATTAAATTAATCATTATATTCAAACGTAAACGGTGAAAATGTAGCAAATTAGATTGATTGTTTTCTCTTTTATCGGTTTGTCTCACATGAATGATATTGCAAGATTTGGTAACATGCTCCTTAATTATCATACGCTTTTGGGTGTTTCGTGTTTTTGTGCTCTCCTCAAGTCCAGGAGGTAAAAATCGGATCATCGGTTTGGTAAAACCAAACACATTAAAATTGTTATTTGTTGCATCACTATATAGCTTACCTGAGCGCAATTATTTGTTTACATTAAACTAGCAAGTTTTTTACCCAAAGATTGTATTCAGAATTAAAAAAAATTTGAGGCTTCTGATTGGATGATGCAGGTTGGAATTATTTTTTATTTGAGAGTATATCCATTTAGGTTTGAAAATAGGTGAAAATTAATTCTTAATTTACAATGTGTAGAAGATATAATTTTTTTATTAACTAAGGAGTCATTTAAAATTAACCTTTCCAATTTAGTGCAGAATTTGGAAGCTTCCTTAACAACTGTATTTTAGGGCAACTTTTGCCGCATGACCATATACTTTTTTTTTCCTGCAATAAAATGCTGGCATCTATAGTCACAGGAACTGCTACCCAGTTTTTCTAGTTTGTTTATTCTTCAAGAAATAAATTTTTAAACACCACTGGGGTCCTATGGAAAATGCATTACAAATAATGTACTCTTGTAACCTATAGGCAGTATTTGGAGTATGATGAAAAATCAGTTGCCTGAAAGCCAGAATGATGCATCTGGTAAGGATGACAGAACGTACGCACGCTTGTTATTTGAAAGATAATATTCAGGTGATCGCAATATATAAATATATACAGAATGCGAAACAAGTCAATGAATTAATCAGGAAAATTAAGAAACAAACGGATTTCAACTCCCTTTGTTTTGTGTTGAGACGACTTCTTTTAGCAAAATTCAAGTCCATCAAAATGAGAAGATATAAACAAAAAAGGACATAAAATGACCATACGAGACCAGATAGAAAACCGGTTCCAACTCGACCAGAATATAATTGAAAAGGGTAAACAACGGATTAATTAACAATATTCCACAATTTAGGTTAAGCAACTTATCCTCCATTAAAATCCTGAGATGAACTCAACTGCTTAGAAAGGGTAAGCAGTAACTGTTCCACTAGTGACACCTGTCGTGTTTCCCATATGTAGGATGCATGCTGCTCTGTTTTAAAATAACAAGCTTTTTAACAGACTAATATAAATTGATAGTACATGTATATGTATATTGAATCTAAAATGCAGAAAAAGTGATAGGTCTATGTCTTTGATATAAGCCATTGGACATTTGGCGGGAAATCATTTTTTAGATTTTTCGTACATTTGATTTTGGCAGTGTTTTTTTTTATTATAAAAACTATAAAAAAAAATATATGGATTTTACATATTTTTTTAAAATTGCTTTTTAACTATCTGTTAAAATTTATGAAAATATAAGTAGGGGATAACTGGCAACATTTTTGATGGGTGCTACATGGATAAAACTACAGCATTCCGAAAATGCGACAAAAATTCAAAAAAGCATCCTTAATATGTCGTTGTTCTTTAGAACCGTTGATGGTATTACAGGAAAGTAGATCTTGCATCCTAGGACAATATCAGATTAATTTATCCTCGTTACAAAAAAAAATGTACGTATCCGAGAACATGACCAGATAAAAAAAATTAAGGTTAAGTTTTACATAGTACAGTAATATTTATCAGTTTTGTGGTCTTGTTCTTCCAAAGCGTTCGAAAAATCTTTTATTCGATTGACGACCTTGACAAACCATCAAGGATTTGAAATATGAAACAAAAAAGAGGGAGAATGGATAATAAAAATACCTCCCGTTTTAAAAATTTTGGTATGCATACCCAGCAAACACAAAAACATCTTTAAAATGTTATTAAAATGTTGTGTCTAATGTCATGAAAATATCACAAAAAACGTGAGAAAAACATAAAATGTATGGTTGATTATATATCACTAAAACGTTTTTGAATATATATCACTAAAACGTTTTCTAATATATTTTCTAAAATATTTGCATAATATAATTAAAATGTTGTCAAGAAATATCATGATAATGTGAAAACCAATGGCGTATAAAACATTTTGATAATCTTTTACAAAATATTTTCTAGAAATATTTTCTGAAGGTTTAAAAACATCATGAACATCAAATAATGTTATAAAAATGTTTTTGGGATGTTTCCTTTCAGGTGAGACTGTGCCTAAAAAGTATTTTCAAAATGTTTTAAGAAGATGTTTTTGGTTGATATCTAGATCATATCAATATAAAAATTTCTGTACTTTTGATTGAGTTTCCTGCTTTTTCATATAACAAATCATTAGTTTAATAGATACACAATGATTCATTCTATATACAAACAAGAAGAAGTCAGTTGTTTTGCTAAGCATATGAAAATTCACAATTCAAAGTATCTGAAAACAAGAAGTATCTACAAATTTTGACATATCCCAAATGGCAGACACAACTCATCATGGTCAAGCCACTTACCAAATATGAAGTCATTCTGTTCAGCAGCATTACCAATAAAAGTAATGAAAAATTTGAGAACATTTTGAAATACAATGTATAAGCAAACAGGAAGCAGGTTCCAGATGCAAAAATGTTCACACATCACAGTTCATCTTTATCAAGCAGCTCATCTTGATCAGCAGTTTTGGGAAAAACAGTAATGAAAATATTTGTTGGACAAAATCCGACAAATATAGGTGGACAGACGACAGACAGTGCAAGAAAGCCCACATTCCTACCACAATGGTATAATGTTTAGTTTTTTACTCTCAACTTTTATTACCTATCTTATACACATCATGCATATGTCAACCTGAACATGCATGACATATTTGCCATTGGACATTATGCAAACATTATACACATTTTTAAGTTGAAGTTACATCGACTAAAACTTGTGTCCCAAATTCAGATTTTTCAATATAACTTCTCTTTCTAAACTCAAACGTAACACTTCTAATAGGATTACATTATTGATAATTGGCTTAAGAGATTAGAACAAAACACCATTTTACATCAACTACCGTATAGTGGGTTATCTTCGCGGGGTGTTTATTTTCGCTTATTTTGGCGGGTGAGGGGGAATCACGAAAATAAATTCCGCTAAAATTTATGCATACGTTCGATACCTTCTAATAGCTAAAGCGTTTCGTAAACTAACTATTTTTTTCCCGTTCGACGGATCAATAACGGTTTATGTTAATTCAAACAAAATAAATGCAAAAGGCGATTGTTCACTGGCTGTCAGGTGTTAATTAGTTTATTGGTTACATAATAAAATAAATAATAATATAAGAGTGTAAGGTACGCTTGTCAGGTATTTCATCCTTATTAATTAATGTCAAATTATATAACAGTTGCAAGTCAATCATGATAATTTTATAATATAATTAGTACATCAAAGGTCCGGTCAATTTTGTAACTAATTAACCGTAACATTTACAAGAAGTTTGTACACCTGTGACAAATTACTTTCCGGTATTCTATTGATTAACTGTATTAAAATATTATCAATAAATAAAACGTCATGCAGGTAAAACAATCATTTAACTATAACAATAGACCCTTGTTTGTCAATTTTTACAACTTTTTAACTGCAACCATTTCATTATCCGCCAACATATTTAATTGGGATTAAATAATTCGCCAAAATAAAAACCGCCAACATTTTTCGTATACTTTGTTGCCCCTTAATCGCGAAATTTTATACCCGCGAAAATAACCCGCTATACGGTATTTGATTTATTTAAGAATACATTGAAAAAGTCAATTAATTGTCTTATTCAAAATCACTTGGAATGTCGTGTAGTGTCTTATATCTTTTTCTTGCTGTGCCATGCGTCTGAAAAAAAATTAATCTTACATTCATATATAAGCTTCTTGTACATTCCTTTATAAGAGAACGATTCACGTTGCCTGAAAGATATACATCCCCTCCCCTTTAAAGTTTTGAAACAAATAACGATGATAGTCTATCGGAAGTGGACGATAAATGGCCGACCGTGTTAAGAGAGAGCAATATGCCACGCTGAACTTCATTCAGTTATAAAAACAAATCACATAAAAAACTTTAGACTAGATATGTGTCCAGTCAAGAGTCTTATTTCATTATACTCGTTGATTGTTGTCTATCATATTTTTTTTTCTTTTATTGTTTTGTAAAAATCAGGCTGTTCTTTTCTTGTTTTTTTTTTTTAGTTTTCATTAAATACATTGTATCATGTAGGGACCTTTAAAATCCCTGCTACATTAAACATCTTATTGTCCTTTTTAAGTGTTAAACTCTGTACAGCATATGATACAGTCCTAGTAGTATACTATAGGCACATAATAACTTATTGAAGTGTTACGCATTGTTTTCGCAAGATGATAATAATATAACTTAACTTCCGAGAAACACACAGATGTCATTAAATGAGTTGTTTATATGTATTTGAAATACTTCAAAAGAAAGCAAATATGTTGTTTATGAAAGCACACTGTTGGACTAAAAGATTGATTTAAATAAACAACTTTTGTTTCTGTTTTGTCACAAAAAAAAAAATTTATACAAATATCCAGATATCTTTTCTGTATTGTATGCCCTTATTCTTGAATGTAATGTATTGTTTATGCTAAATATTTGAATTAAATATGGAATAACAGTAATTCTGTATGAAAATCTTACTTCAAAATAAAATTTCTCCTGAAAGGTTGTAGACATTCCAAAGAACCTGTGCCACTTCCAAATTGTAAACCTGCATATTGAACTTGTCCTTTGTGGCTTTTCTTTTAGCTCCTGTTAAAAAATAAAAGATACATTGTATGTACATTGTGTGTATGAATCAATGAATATAACTTTAAGCAACAGTTTATATCATCTTGCTTGTACTGAAGTCTTACAGTCTTTGTAATGTTCATTAAGCTGTTAAGGGAAATTTTATTTACTGTTTTGCAAATACATACATACACTCTCCATATTCACATGGTGCTTATATTAGTGTTATTGTAACTTGTTTGTGTGCCTTGGAACAAGGTATTGAGTCATGCTTATTGCAATAGTTGTTGTTGGTTTAAGTCTGTCATATTTGTTTTTCATAATGTGTATTTAATGTAGGCGGTTAGTTGTTTTGTTTCAATTGTGTTGAGAAAAATTTAACATTTGTTTGTCAAGGCCTTTTAAAGTGGACTATATGGTATGGGTTTTCTCAGTGTTGAAAGCCGTCCAGAGACCTATAATTTCTTTTATCCAAGTCATTTGAATTCTGGTGGATAGCTGTCTCATACACCTTATCGCTATTTCAGTATTTGGAAATCTATCCCGCTTGAACTTTTTACGTCAGCATACGTCATACAATAATACACCTTATCGCTATTTCCGCTTGACCCGAGAATCTGTCCTGCTTTAACTTTTGACGTCAAACAACAATCACTTTTCCATTGTGGCGTCAGATATTTTTTATTATGACGTCAAAATTTTACTGGAACTTGTGACAGTTGTGTGATGTCCAGTAATGGCGGACAAATAGCGATAAGGTGTATTACTTTCCATTGTGGTGACAAATATTTTCTATTATGACGTCAACATTTTACGGGAACTTTTGTGGTGTCCATGGCCAGTAATGGCGGACAAATAGCGATAAGGTGTATTGGCAATCAAACACACAAGCCACATATCCTTATTTTTATATCAATGAACAAATTCATAATTGGTGTACGTAGATGCTAGAACAGTGGCGGATTTAGGGGCCCCAACCCCCTTATGGAGCTACATATAAGATAAATGCATAGACTATTTACAAGTATCACTCCAAACGTTTGCTTGCCTTGGGAAGGGGCCCCTTTTTTCAAAACCTTGATCCGCACCTCTAGAAACTGATGTATTGGTTCCGATTATGATTGAACACACAAAATGAATGCACAAGTTTCATCTTAAGAGATTAATCATTCTTACCAAGTGAGTATATATCGCGTAACAAACAATTTTCTTGGCTCTCTTAGTTGATATCCTGTCTTCGTTTCAAAATTCAAATTTCGATATCATTTCCGGTGATAAAACAAAAGTCGATTCCGGAAAAGGTCGGTTTTCCGTAATGCATATAAACGATACGAAAATGGAACTAAGTACAGTTACAGTTTTCATTTCTTAATTTCTCTAATATACACGAACGAAATGAATAAACATTAAAGAAAGGTGATTGTTTATTAATACATTATTGCTTAATTTAATGTTGACTCTTTTGAATTTTAAGAAGGAATCAAATCTGACTTCAAGATATCAAGGATTTCAACGGTATAGTATCTTGCTTGTCATGATACTGATGAAATGTAGTACTATATCTTATCCTGAAAAAAACGAGCTTATTCCACAAAATTTGTTTGTGGGGTTTTGAATAAAGTTTAAATAAAATGTTATTTTTATATCCGTAAAATGTTGAATAAAATATCAGTAAGACTATTAAATAATGTGTATGTCAAAATATTTTATAGAAAACATTTAGCTGATATTTTTCAGAAGTTTTATGTAAAACATTTTAATTTTACGTTATAAAACATTTTATGCAAATAGCAAAACTATTTTTTCTGTAAAATACTTTTTGCAGAATGTTTTTTGGATATTTCGAAATTATTTACTTTAAATGTTGTAACAAAATGAAATACCAATTGAAGAAAATATAATTTGTTCATATTATAAAATATCTACGGGATATTTTAGAATAATGTTTGAGAACAAAGATAAAAGATATTAGCAAATAATATTTTGTTAATGTTGTAAAAACATTTTACTTAAATGTTAGAAATAAAACATTTCAAAAACAATAAAATAAACATTTTTTTGATGTTTAAATGATATCTTATTGACATATTTTGTGAGAGACGTCCATATAACATTTAAAAAATGTTTTTAAAATGTTGTGTGTTTGCTGGGTACAGTCTTAAACGATATTCAAATCGTCGTGGTCAGTAAAATATCAAACGGTACATAAAAGAAAAAAATGTTTGTCAAAAAGCAATTAACCAAATGAAATGAATATGGTTGAAAGCAAGAACATCGAATGCAAGTACATTAAGGTAGATAGGGTGTCTTCCTTCATCTTGGATTTTGAAATACCAGAAAACAATTGGTCTAGATCTTTAATAAAAGGTGCAAATTTGAGAGTAGTAGGTAATTCATGTGTAAGAATATTCATATCAATATAGAAAATGACATATTTTATCATATTTATGGTTGTGTTTTACAAAAAAACAGAATACTTTTGTTTGATTCTATTTTTTCCAACTTTGCCACATAAGGGGAGGCAACTCAAATGTTAGGGCAGATAATTCAGATAAAGTTACTTTTACAATAGAATGTGTTAGGAATTTACCTATTTAATTATGTAGCACGAAAATGGGTTCCGTGACCCCATTTTTTCTTTTTCTTATCTGAAAGCATACTATTAGAGCTATCTTCTCATATTTTATCTCAAAATTCTATGGTGTAGTTTTCGTTTTATGGCAGAAAATTGGGTTTTACATGCATAATCTATACAAAATCTGTCAATTTTGCACAGCCTGTAACGTGAAAATAAGCCCCGTGACCCATACTTTTTAATATTTTTTTTTAAAAAGCATGATATAAACTACATTTTGGCAAATTATTAAAAAAATCTATGGATTATAATTTAGACACCCCATCTACCTTAATAACAAATTATAAAGAATAAAATGAATGGGGAAATACCGAGTCGACAAAACAAATATTACAAGTGGAAGCAAAACAGGACTTACCATGTCTAACTGAAAAACTGCGATTAGACAACCAGCATTCTACAAAACACTACACCGAATCACAATGAGTGACACAAACCCAAAAAAAACAGTTCAGCAAGAGCAACTGTATCTTCTTGTGTAAAAGAACTTTTTCAGGTACAAATGAAGGCAAACTCAAAGAACTTAGCTTGCATATGTTTAAAGCAGAATCAAAGATATTTACATACTGATTAAATTCCTACTAATCTTCTTTTCCAAACTCATCAAACGAAAGAGTGAACATATGTGTAAATATATAAGCAACATAAAAATGTCGATTGTTCTTTCGAGCAAAACCATTTGGATCATTTTTTGTATTCTTTTCTTTCGTTTTTTCTTATGTGCTTTGTCTATATGCCTTTTTTGTTTTTCTTTGTCGGTATTTTTGTTTGTTTTCATTAATATTATAACACGATGTTGACTACTGTTCCCCTATTTTGACATTTTTACTTATAATATCTGATTGCTTTGTTCACACATCGTTGTCAATATAGTGGAATTTTATGCGACTGTTATTGTAGTGAGAGGTTTAGCTAGCTGTAAAATCAGGTTTAATCCACCATTTTTTACATAAGAAAATGGCTGTACCATGTTTAGGAAAATAACAGTTGATATTCATTCGGTTAATGTGTTTAGGCTGTTGATTTTGCCATTTGATAAGGGACTTTATGAATTTCCTCGGAGTTCGGTATTTTTGGTTATTTTACTTTTCACTATCCAAATTTGTTGGCAATTAAACAATAATTACTGATGTTCAAGATCAAATCAAAGTTTCAATGTGTTCATTCAAAGAACGATTTTGTTCTTCAATCTATCTTGGTAAAACAAATTATGAAACAAAGTTCAGCTTATCTTAATTATCTTAGATTACAAAATACTTCAGTTAAAAAGCCTTTCTGACGCAGTAAAGGTGGTTCTGTTAATTATGTTAAAATCTACATCTCGCTGTAGAAACTTTAAATATTGTGTTGTTTATTTTCAATTTTGGTAGCATAAATGTTTACCATTTAAAGTAGTTTTGTGGGGGTTATTGTCCCCAAACCAGTATTATAATGTTTATGACTACGAGTTGCTGTTGAATATACATTAGATCACATTAGGTTTTGAAGTATGCATACGTATTATATAGTAATATTATATTTTCGCAGTAAATATTGTTTGAGACCTTGCGTACGTTTTAAACAGACGTATTCAATTGAGACAATGTTGAGGAAAATGTTTTATCATTTACAAATAAAACCAAAACCTGAAAATTGAAATAAGTCGAAAAGACATTATACATACAGCAATATATCCGAAAATAATAAAATGAAGCTAATAATATCCTTTAAATGTCGTTTGAATTCAAATTTCGATTGTAGATCATGTTCTCTCACTAAATAATTCAAATTGTGGTGATAGGGTTGGTCTCATCTACTTTATACAACTTCAAATAAGAATATCACATATGCTATATTGGGCTACAGCATATCGTGGCTTTACATGCAAAGTAACATTCAGGATATTTCGATAACTAAATTGTATACTTATAGAGACTGTTTTAAGTTTAGTTTTTTATACTAGTAAGTCGAGTCCCCAAATCCGACAAATTTTATTTCGTAAAAAAGACAACATTATTGGAGATTGATTGTTTTAAACATAATGCTTTAATATTTGATTTTTTTTGGTTACTTAATTCGTGTGAATGAACATCTAAAAAACTTAAAACTGACACATCACCTGTATATATTACCGTAAAGAACGTTCTATTCATTTATGTCATTACTCTGATTTCAAATAGCAAATTATCTATAATATATGCCATACGACCTAAAAGATGCATGCTTGCTTCAACAATTTGATTAAATACGTTGACCTCAGGCCGCGTAAATATCGTTATACATACGTAATATGACCCACAACGTTAATAGGATTATTTTGACTTTTGTCATACTTTGTTTTATTGGGCGCCTATGGCGACAATTATATTTTGTATCATATCAAAATAATACATTTACAAAAAGGTATATTTTAAACATTCGGTTTTTATTTCTTTTATTTGTTTTAGGTAAAGAGTTTCATACAGATTCTGCCATAAACAGTCATCATTCATTTTAAGATGAAAATTCACTCTTAAATGACATTTTTGACATATTACACTGATATATTGAGTGCAAAACACTTCAGTATTACATCGATCGTTATTGTGACAAATATCTATTCAGAATGTATACCATATTTATATACTTAAGATCTAATGTCAATTAGTTTTGTTAAATGCTGTTTGATTTTAAATTTTCTTCTTTCAAGTATTGTTATGGTATTCGTCATCGTCGCATTATAGCAAATTAATTGTTAAATATTTAAACATAGTGCGTGCCAGGGTATCAAATTACAATCTTTACAATTTTTTTAAAGACGTTTAATATTTTGTTTGACAGATCATGCTTCACTACGCACTATGTTTAGCAAAATCAGAAATTAATTTCAGTGTATTTGTGTCAAGAAAATTTTTAAACAGTTTTAAATCTGTATTTTATAGTTGATCGATCCTGGCAAGTGCATAAGAGTGTTTACTTTTTCATATGATATAAATATATTTAATGGAATACTTGTAAAATGTGCTAGTCAATTATATGTACTATAATATATTAACGACTGGACAAAGTAAGCATATGCAATTTTAATGATGTAAGCGCGTATATTTATTACACTTGTCCCTGTTTAGATAACATCATGAAGTTTATCTCTAGATCCTTGCTAATATTAAAAGTCATATGAGTACCAATTATAATGATATTATAGCGTAAAGTACTTTCCAAAACTGATTGGTATGTTCTACTGTTTAGCTGATTATATTGGTTTGTATTTTTCTGATCGACATAATACATGTAATAGGGTGTTGATTGCTCTTAATATGCCTGGTTTAACCTTGCCACATTTGCACATGCAGTTTCCAAAGTTGGACCCCGTCAGTTGTTATCTTGGGTCATTTTAATCCTGAATTTGTTTGTCTTTTTGGGGATAACCATTAAGCGCATGATTATAAATTTGAAACCAAAACGAGTCTGAACATTTTATGTTGGCAATAACATTTACTAGAGATTTGATGAAAAAAAATCGAAGTTAGTTACATTTTGCCTCACGTAATGTTTTTCCTTTTCCTAAAACGTTAGCAAAACTTGAAGATGTTACAAAATGAAGAAGATGTTACAAAATGAACGTTTAAACAAAACCATCCCCTTCCGCAAAACTACCTCCATATTTTTTCAGATAAATTAGCCCTCACTGGGTTGCATCT